GGGGGGGGGAGCTGATACGGGAAAACGAACTAGTTTTCTTATACTGGAGGCAGAATGCTGTCAAATATACCGAGCCGCTTAGTATGCGTTTGTTTCCTTACCTTTGAGAACTTCGCCTAAAAGTGGTAAATGTGAGTCCCGTACTTCTGCAATATAACACATCAACACACGTGACAAAGTACACCAAGATCTTCCATGAGGCTAACAACGTTGCGACCTTACCCTGGCCTGCTAAAATCATCGATCTTAACATCATCGAGAACGTTTGGGGTCTTCTAGCACGCCAAGGTTACGCAAATGGACGCCAATTTGGCAACAAGGCCGACTTGGTCAGGAAAATTAAGGCTGAGTTGGCTCGTATCGACCTAGCTTATATTCAAAAGCTAATTCAGAGCGTCCCAAAGCCTTTACAGACGACGCGGTTGTTGAGGGGATTTAAAACGGGGTACTAAAGTAGCAACGTTGAAGTGCGGCTATAATTTTGACACGGTTTAAACTGACAGTTTTGATCATTGTGAAAAAACGAAGTTTGCTTATTAAAATCTGCCTGTGGCAATCGTTTTCTATTAGGTTTAGACACACTATGAGTCCCTGTTTGCCTGCAATACAGCGGTGCTCAGACCAAAAATGCAAACTTCGAATACGGCTATAATTTCCACGCGCACTGTATCACCGTTGCTGTACGACATCTCTACTGTACGTTGTAGTTTGGCAGTCCAGCGCGCGGTGTTACACGCTAGTTCAGCTGATTTGACAGGCTCAAGTGAAGAAAAGCGCACTCGGTGGTTACTACACGTTTGTCGAGTGTGCGAACCAGACTCAGTGACTTTGGAGAACAAGCCGAATTTTTGACTGCCATAAACGCGAAGCTTGAGATACGTATCATGTCACCGCAGAAACACTTCAAAGTTTTTACTCATTCGTCATCGATAAGGCAACCCAGACGCGCCTCTTTTATACGAGAGACATCGATACTTTGTCGAGGATGGAGGTATCATCCACAAAGCAGCTACTAAGTTGCTCTACAACCTTGTCTGCGAAAGCATTGGAAGACATAAAGCTAATATACACTCCGTGAGTAAGCAAAAATTTCTTTGATTTATTTGTAAAAAAAAAAGCTCTAGATATTCATTTCCTGTTATATGGGTCGAAAGCGCAAACTCTCACAATTCCAGACATATACCGCTCATGCGCTAACTTCCAATATTGACGATGCAAGCAGTCGAGAAAGTAGAGAGCGCAATGGAGACCAGAGATAGATTCAATTTCCATATTACGGATCGAAAGCGCAAATATCGCGGTTCCTTACGTTTATCACTCATAAATTAATTCCATTTTAGACGGTACGAGTCGTCGAGAGTGCTCTCTGCCATGTTATTTTAGAGATAGCACCGCAGGAGTCATTCGTGGATGACCTGCT